ACTGTGCCTACTAGCACTACACAGTGAAATTAAGAGATTAAATAAAATTAAAAAAGAAAGAAAGACATCACTACATGAGCCACCTCATACTATCCAGGGATTGTAGAAGCAGTCTGAGTTATAATGGTGTAAAACAAAATAATAATCAGGAGTTAAAATGGTGTAAAATAAAAGCATGACTCGAGTTCACTGTGCATGCAAGTCCAAAGGAACCAAACATATGTCTGTAGGATTTATCTGAAAAATACTGTACTTAAAATATTTCATGTTGATGAAAGTATACTCAAAATAATAATAAAAATCCAAACAACCTGGCATTTGTGAAGATGTGAAGAACAGAAAACATCAGTAAGGGGTATTTGGAAATATATTAAGCATGGGGATACTTCAGCTACCACAGAAATATTGGCAGGTAATGATTCAGCACAGGAAATTAGTACATAACCTCTACTTCTGCAGGAGGTAATACCTGAAGGCGGTATCTGAACTTCTTTGTGTCCAACCAGGGTAATATATTAATATCTGAAATTATTCAAATATATGCAGATGTTTCACAAGTAGCAAAATAATTCTCAATGTAAAAGTGATGATACATATTTCATCCCTGACACTGCTATGCATGGCGAACTTGCATCCAATCATTTCAGCCCCTTCCACATAGAAGAAACTTTCCCTAAATGTCTGCAAAGCAAATGCCTTCTGAAAACTCTCCTAAAAATTCCACTCTTCCATCGGCCGCTAACATGCTGAAGCCGTATCTGTAAGACTGACTAATACAGCCATATTGTTTCCATGTCCTCCCCATATGTGTGTCTGCAGCCATCTGTTGTCTCTTGGCTTACATTGCTAAATCCTTTAGAGAAGCGGGTTTTCTTCTGTATGTTTGTATGGCACCCAGCAGAGCAAGGTCTTGGTCCTGATGAGGGCCCATGAGTGATACAGTCAAATAATAGATAAGCCAAATTACTACATGAAATAATTCGAATTTTGTGTTCAATTCCACTATATGCAATTCATTGTGCAGAAACAGTGTTTTCTAGTTTAAATGTCAGCGTATGCTGTGGACTGTTCTGTGGCTGACATAGATCATAAAAGGATTATAGGAGTGTCAACCAACATTCAGCTGGTTCAAGATTAAAAGGTATTGTATTTGGTGGTAATATAAATCTTGTATTTAATTGTTAGGTTCAAAAATGAAAGCTGAGTAACTTCGCACAAAATGGAAGCAGTAGCCACTGCTATGTACTCCAGCAAAATTTGCATAAAATCAAATGAGAAAGCAATTTATGCCATGCATCTGAATCTTGTTTGACATGTAAAATGCTGCTGATTTCCAAAAGGTATATTCTGTGTATATTTCCTGAATAAGCACTTAAATACTGGTAACTCTTATCAACTCCCTGGCTTCAGGATTTCCATGTATGAATCTCATTTTCCCATTATTTTCCTCATCAGAGTTATTTTCTAATTTATCCTGCCAATTTGCCAGGAGCTCAGGGGATGTTTCCTTTATGTTCTTCTTTTGAATACTGAAATGTGACTGGGCAAATTAATACAGGAAAAGTAGCTGTTAACAAAAAAAGTGCAAGAAATCCCTGATCTGAAAATCTGTGTAGTCTTGGAGAGTATTTCGGGCAGCACCATTACGTGTTTATGTCATGACATGCCTTTTTCATTACACTTTAGCTGACCTATCATTCACCAGCATCAGACAACATACCAGATATAGACTGGTCTTTTTCTCTGACACAGTTCTGTCACTTTTTGTGTTATGTTTTAAATTTCAGCACTATTGCTTAAACACCTTAAATACCTGTAAACACTCTTCTCTTTGAAGATAGTTTCTTTTCCACTGTACTTAACATTTGGTAGTGCTGCCAAGTTAATTCATATTCAGGATTCAGCTTTAAGATGGAGTTTTGCTATTCGAGGTGTTCCTGAATGAAGTGTTTGCATATATATTGTAAGCTTTTCACAGCAGAGTTTACTCTTCCTTCATGCATAAAACAGACAAAATACATTTTTTCTTTCATTTCCTAAGCAGTAAGACTGAAAACTAAATGGTATTATGAAAGAATGATGTTACAGTCCTGATTTTGTGAGTTCGTGTCCCTGTTTTCCATACGTCTGTGTTAAACTACATGTCACGTATTTTGGAGAAAATTTGTTTAAACTGATAAAAACAAGGTTGATAAAGAGTGGTTTCTTCTAAAACTGTGTTTCTTCAGACTTTGGCTTGTGTATGGTGCTATATTCCAGTGCCCTTATCATGTCCGCAACCCTTATTGCAGCTTGTAAAGCGAACAGCTGTAAAAGAGTAGGATTGCAATGTCAAAACTGTAAAACTTTCTATAATCTGTTCTTGAATGTGCTAACCATCTTCAGCTAGTCAAAGCTGCTTTTCTGAAACAGTAAAATTTGATGAAAAACAGGATATGGTGGCGGCATGGCTGATCTCATTATCAGCTCAGGAGAGAGCAAAGGATATAAAAAATTTACTTCCATAGCTGTCTTTGTAAAGGTGAGAAGATAGATGAAAGGAAAGGTAATAAAAAGGGAAGAGCGAGCTTTGGACAAATGGAAAGCACCAGAACTGTATAGATTGGTGGAAAAAATAGCAGAGAAATGGCAAATAATTAATCATAAAGCAATTAGTTTTCGTGTCAAAAGAAAATAGGAAGTGTAACAATGTAAGCAAAGTTCTGGATGTGGCTAAGAAGACAAATACGAGAAACATAAATGTAAGAAGTCAAGTGTTTTGCAGATTAAGTCTTGCCACAGTAAGGAAAATAGTTGGAGAAGTGTATATGGAGGTATTCAAATAGAGTCTTGCTTTGACTTGAGGCATAAATACTGTACCTGCGTCATATTGTTAGTGAAATGTAAATCAGTGTGGCATCACAAATCATATGCTTCCTTTTCATTCTCCAATTCAAGATGTTACTGATTATCTGTAAAGCTCTACATCATCTGGAATGTTGAAGGTGTAGAAAAGTTTTCTGAGGACCCTGGGACTAAAGTTTCAGAAAGTATCATTAAGTTGATTTTCTGCAAGATTGCATCATTAAATTTGCATATCTTGGTCTCCTACGTCTGATGCATGGGATTCCTTTGATTTTCTGCTTGATTTGTTTTTTCTTCCTCATAATGCAGCTCCCAATATTAGAAAATATTAAGATTATATGCTTTATAGGTTGTTTGATAAGTTGACATAGATATTTTTATTTTGGTTAGTAACTTAAATGATTTACTTTCATTTTGTGGTCAACGAGTTAACCTTTGAGTTAGCATTGGCAAAATGAGTTTGAATCACTGTTCACGTGTTTCTGGTACTGTGTGTCAGATCAGCTGAAAGGTCAGTTTCTCAAGGAAGCATAGACCATACTGGTTTTCTCTTGACTTACATTTGGGCTGTTCAAAGAATTTCTAAGTCTCTGTTCATGCATAAGACAGATCAGATCAGCACTATAATTTGTAAACAAAATAAAAATGGTATCCAGGGTACTTGTTTTCTCAGCACAGTGGAACACTAAAGTTGGCACTTAGAGAAAAGCACAGTGGATACTGTCTGTACAAGCATTGAGAGCATCTGCACAGTGATGGCTATAAATCAGTTGTTTCATCTATTACTGCTAAAGAATTTGACTTTAGAGTAATGAAAGAAAAAGTCCTTGTTTTTCTGAGGGGTTTTGTGATTTTGCTGCTTACCTGTACAAAACATTAAAACATTCGTAGTTTGCAGAACATATTTAAAAAGATGGTGTGAAAAAATTAGTCTCAGAAATGTTGATTAGAAGATACCTCTGCTCAAGCTGCTATTTGGAGCAGGATAATCCCTAACATTGGATCAGGCCAGTGGCTTTGAATAGATACTCTACCACTTCTGTGAGCGGCTTCTTCCAGTGCTGCACTGCTCTTCTAATAGATTAGTTTCCTAATGACCAGTTTGAACCTCCCAAGGAGAAATTTTGGGCCATGGTCTCTTCTATACTGTTTGGTCCTGCTGAGAAGAGTTTTATTACATGATCTGTGAAGCTCCATCTAGCTGCAGGCTCCCAGCAGATTCCCTTAGGCTCTTCTTTGCCAAAATAAACAAGCTCAGCTTCCTCAGCCTCTCCATTAGACCTGTAACCGTCATAGTAGCCTTGCACTGGACCCCCTCCAGTTTCTCAACATCCTTCTTGAACTGGAGACCCAAAACATTATTCCAGGTGAGGGCTCACAAGCACAGAGTAGGTAAGGGTAATGACTTTCCTGGATCTGCTGACGACATTCCTCCTAATATAGCCCATTGCACTGTTTACATTATTTGTGGTAAGAGAACCTTATTAGTTTATAAACAATTCAGCAGCCACTGTAACCTCTAAATCCTTTTCAGCAGGCCTGAAACATAGCAAGTTCCTTCCGTGTCTGCACTGGTGCACTGGGCTTTTTCTCCTCAGGTGCAGAATTTTGCACTTACTGAAGTCTCTAAAACAGAAACCTCAAAATGTTTCTCTTGCCTAGGCTTCCAGTGTCTCATGGTGCTTCTCAATTGAAGTTCTACCAATCAGCACTGCAGCCACACCTCCCGATTTTGCCTCATCTGAAAATCTACTGAGTGTACATTCTGTCACTTCATATGGGCTGTTGATGAAGATACTGAGCAGTATCTTCATAGCAGTCCATTAGTTACTGTGCTCATTTCCAATCACCATCTGGACATCAAGTCACTGACTATTCTTTGAGCTTAGGGGTGTGACCAGTTTTCAGCCTCCCTAAAATCCTTTTGTTCAGCCCATACTTTGTCATATTATCAATGATGATGCTTTTGGAAATGTGCCAAAAGCCTAATTAAAGTAAAAATATATTGCATTCACTGCTCCCCTTTCATCTGCATGGCATATCATTTGATCATGGTGAGCAAGCAGATTGGTCAAGCATGATCTGCTCTTCGTAAATCCTTGTTGACTTTTCTCGATTATTGTCTTGTCCTTTACATGTTGGAAATTGATTCCAAGAGGACATGCTCCACGATTTTTCCAAGGACTAAGGTGAGGCCAACAGTTTTATCATTTCTTAGATCCTCCTTCTCTTTTTTCTTTAATATGGATGTAAAATTAACCTTTCTCCAGTCATCAAGGATGTCCTGTAATAGCAGTGATTTTTCATGATCACCAGTGGTGTTGCAATCACATTGTCAGCATTTTCAGCACTCGTGGATGTGACGATTCCTTGTGGCCCCATGTATTTGAACACATACTGCTTCTTCAGGTATTCACAGAACTGTTTTCCCCACCCCACCCCTTTAGACATTCCTCTCCTTCCCAAACTGTACATTAAGAGATCTGGGAGCAGACTTAGCCAAAAAATCAAGAGGCAAAAATGGTATTGAGGGCTGCAGGCTTTTCTGTGTCATCCATCATTATCTTATCTCCCCTGTTATGCAGCAGACAGTGTTTTCTTTGAACCTCCTTTTGTTGTTCTAGTCCTTGTAAAATCTCTTCTTGTTCCCTTTACTGTCCCCCATTATTTTAGCTCCAGATGGGTTTTGTTCTTCCTAGTTTTGTTCCTGTGCCCGAACAATGATTATGTGCTTTGTTTCCTGTCATTGTCTCCACATATGTGCTCTCCATTTCCACCATTTCCATCTCCATATGTGCTTTTCCCATTTTAGCTCATTAAGAAGCTCCTTACTCAGCCAAGTGGACCTTCTGCATATTTTGTATGTGCTGCTTTCTCATGCATTTCTGGGTTAGATCTCCTTCCTATGGCAGTCCTCTGCACTAAGCAACTGTTACAAAGATGTTATTCCCCTTCTTTTCTAGGTATACCTGTTCTCTAAGTCATCTTTCCTCATCAAAGTGGTTGCCACAAGCAAAACAGTGGAAGCTTAGCTAGTGCTAACAAATATGCACCCATGTGTGGCTTACTGGATACATCTGCTAATGTCCAGGCTTTTTTTCCCTTTGCTATAGGATTAGAGAGAAACACTGCCAGGAATCCAGTCCACCAGGAGCCCTGCATTCACTTTTGAACTGAAATGGCTTTATATCACTGTATCATTGGTGTATGCATGAATAAACATGAAAAAAGTCAGAACATTAGGTGACCCCAGTCATTTGGCAACACCACAAATGGAAGGTCCATGCAGGCAAGAAACCTCCTGAGCTGATGAGTCTGCTGGAAGAGTCACCAAACTCTCACTATCACTCACCACCTTCTCTTGTTAGCACTCTGATATGGTGTCCAGCCTGAATTCTTCCCCTGAGGGAACTTGTTCTCCCCCTGTGCTGCCTGGGCTCTGCACCACTGCTGCCCTAACTCCCAAGGTACCAGTTCCCACCCTCTTAGGAGTGCATGCCTTCTTCCCACTCCATCTTGCCTCAGTTGCACCTTCCCTTTCAGTTGTATAAGCTTTTACACCTTAACAGATCCTGTCAATCACCTGTTTGCCATCCCTCATGCAATACAACACATTTGCCTTTTCTTGCAGGGCTTTACCTGCTGCTGCAGCAACTGCAACAGAGCAAACCTTCCACCAGGGAGGTTGTGCTCAGGGTGCAGAGAGGTTGCCACAGCACTGCAAGTGACAGCAGGGGCAGGACTTATATCTTGTAGCAAGTCATCACCATCTGAGTGTTGTCTTCTTATGCAAACAGCACATCTGGGTCTTCCATGTGTCAAACGCCATGTTGGCTGTCTTGCTTATTTGCACATCCCACTGGCAGCACTCCTTGGTGCCCTTCCTGAGGGTGCCAAATAAGTCAGGAACTCCAAATGCATTTGCATAGCTTTGTGCAAGATTTCCCACTTGGCAGGAAAGCCTCCTTTGGCACCTCCTTTGTGAGTGCTGGGTCTGCTGAATGTTTCTGCTCCCCATTCTGGATCCTAATGAGCTAAAAGAACAGTGGATGTAGTTTACTCAGCAGCCATCTCATTTGCCAAATGAAGAGGTTAGTTTCAGATTCTATTCAAGTGGACAGAGCTGTCCAAAAGCATTTTAAGATCAATTTACTGCACTTTTCATCCATGAATGAGAAAAAAATAGTCGGGGAAACATGTTTCATATTCACTTGTAGGAGATAAACTGGGTTTCAATTACTGGCTAATGATTTTAGAATTTGATTATGTTATTTTATAGTAAAATACTCAAATACTGATGCCTTTCCCTGCCTTACAGCTGCGCTTGTGGTGGAGTGGTAATTTAAAATTTACGGTAGATTATTTTTGCAGTCACTAGCTGTATGTGCTGGGAGCAGGTTTTCTGCAGGGACATTGCTTGAATAGAAATATCAATGCAGATATGTTTGTATAGGCTGTGACAGAACTGCAGACTTTTGCCAGCCTGGATGTGGTTCTGGGCAACCTGGTCTAGTTCAAGATGTCCCTGCTCATTGCAGGGGGGGTGGATTAGATGACCTTTGAAGGTCCCTTCTAACCCAGACTATGCTGAGATTCTATAAACAAAGTTACTCATTGAGCAACTATAAATTTGCAACATAAAATGGCTTACATGGTCAAAGTGTAAAATAAGGTGAGAGTATATTAACATAAGGAAATAGCAAAGAAAAAATTTTCTGCAGATTGTAAGTGGGAAGAAAAAGTGTGAAGGGAAGAAGGTGGTCTTGCAAAATGCTATTGTTAAATTTCTTTCTATTTATCAATTGATTTTGTATATATGCTGCATTGGTACAAAGTTTCCTTTGCTTAGATCTCACTCAGTTTCTGAGGAGGTTAAGGTAACCTTTAAATCAAGATTGATTCATTCTTTACTCTTGCTGATCAGCTTTAGATTTTTTTTCATTTGAAACATAATTCACACTCTAACGTTCAACAAGACTACATTGGAACTGCAAAACTCCTAAGAAAATTGAGAGACTAAACAGTTATTTTTCTTTTATCTGAATATCTTGAATTCAGTTGCATACTTAAACAAAAAACTGCTTAATACGGTTTGTGACTAAGCTCTGAGGGAACTTTTCCAAAGGAGTGCTGAACTTTCTCTGCAGAATAGTTTTCAAAGTCAAGACTGGATGCATTTCTAAATCACCAAACAAAGGAGTTCAAAGAGGAATTCGTAGCTGAGGTAGTGCCCATTGCTTAGATAGGGCATGTGGCTAGATCATAATGTTTCTCCTCAGCCCTAAAATCAAAAATATTTTTTAATTCATGTTTTAAATTACTCAATGCTTTTAAATATAACATGATTTAGAGTAATCACTTATGGTACATGAGTTTTCACCTGAACATTACATAAGACCCATAGAAGTGCAGGTTTTTCATGCAGCTAGAGCATGATACGAAAGTAAATATGCCAAAATACTTGGCAGTAATGCATCCTTGAGGTATGGCATTAGGTCTCATGAAATACATGTTTTGAAATAATAATAAAAATAATAATTCTGAGGTTTCAGAGGAATTGCTGTGGAAATTATTCTGCCAGAAATAAGTTTTCTCATTTGGTGAGTTTTTTACCACCATTGCTGTGGTACTGTGTTTGCACAAGCAAAACCAGGTAGCTAATCTGTCAAATAAATACAAATTGTCTTGGGTCCATGTAGACAGATTTTTATTTGACTCTTTAGAAGGAAAAAGAGTAGTCTTAGCAAACACTGAAACATTAAAACTAAACCTTGTTATTGCCATGAAATGACAAAAGAATATAAAATTATTTTAAGAAATACAGTTGGAAGGTGATTCTCTTTATTTCCATAATTTTCTCAAGAACCAAGGAATAGGAAAAATTAAAAGATATCTAAGCAAGTCAGGGGTTAGCTTACCACTTTTACTGTGTATTATAGAAAGTCGGGGGCGGGGGAGGGAGTTAATGCTAATAATCTGTTAATTGTAGGAGGAGGAATTGGAGGCCCAGATTTCATTCCTACAAGGACAACTAAACGACTTGGAAGCCATGTGCAAATACTGTGCAAAGATGATGAACACACATCTTGGTAAGTGCAGTACTCTCTATTAACCTCTAAATCTTTATGAAGGCTCTTTTCATGTTTGTATTAGAACAAAAATAGTATTTATGTAATACAGTACCTAGTATTTTATAAGCCATGAAGAAGATTGAACTGATACATACTCAGTTTTCTGTTAATGCTGCTAACCACTGTGTGAAACTATGCTGTCATAGTTTCAAACTTGGGAGTATGATATCCACTGATGATGCTAAAAAAATCATAGAGGCATTGGCATAGATGCCCTGTCTGTTTCTAAGACTTTTTGTATTGTAAGGAATGTTGTGGAGAGCACAGCAGTCCCAGAATGATACTTGATGGATGCAGTGATAATTATATAAAATTAATACACTTTCATTAAATGTAGCATCTTCACAGTGTATGACTGTTTCTCTACCAGGAGGAATATAGTAAGATACAAGTCAATACACTGGGAAAAGAACCAGCAAAGACTCCAGCCTAAAATTTGATATAGATATTGTGAAGCCTAATCAGAGAAAGTAAACAAAAAGCTTCAATCACTTCAGGTGTGAATATGCGCAGATGTGCTTTGATAAGAGCAGTACTTTTAAACTGTATTGAACCCCACTCCAAAATTTAGTATATTTAATTGTGTGAAAAAGCATTGTTGCTAAGAAATCAGGGTTCAACTGCAGTAATTTTAAGGTTTCTTTACGGCCTGCAACAGTTAAACAAAATAAATACAAATTTAATCTTTCAGTGGATAGAATTAAGTATATGATACCTAAGTTTGCCAGGTCAAAAAGATCAGATGTGAAAGCCATTATACTTGTATTTTCATTTTCTTTTTTGTGGGTGTTTTAGTAGCCACTGTTATGAGCCTAGGTAAAGCTATAAATATTGTGTTATTTGAAAGTTTGAAATCACAGCCTTCAAAAACTGAGTGTAAACCTCTAACCCCAGCAGCTTTAGTCTGATATATTGTATTGCTTCTGTGAGGGTGCCATAACAATAATGAGTCTAGAAGCAAGCAAAAGGGATAAATTATGAGCTACTGAAATGATGGGGAAAAGATTACTGTGTCAAGAAGAAACACTGAAGATTCCTTCCTTTAGGAAAGAAGAGTGTTTAGCAGGGGTATCAGTTCAAGTACAAGCATAGGTATTTCACCAGCTACAGCTCTGGACTAGAGTTCAGAGTAAAACCAGACAGAGATACTGGGAATAGTCTGTCTTTGGGTGTTGGATCCATGAAGTGAAAGCAGAGGATTTGTGGTAATATCCAGGTGTTGAATTCTTTTTCCCAGATATGTTAGAAACAGAAACATTTAGTCTAGTAGTCTCCAGTAGTCTCCTGAGAGCATTGTGAAGCCATTTGTTACCCCCTCAAGACAAGGAATTCCCTATCCACCTGTGGCTGCAGTATGTACCATGGCACTTCTGCAGTGCTCTCAGAGACTTCCAGCCTAGTTCCTTCTAAGTCCCACTATTTATATTTCTTCACAATATTCCTGCATGTCTTGTCAACATCATGGGCTATTAACTTTGTAAATTTGGGTTACACTAATGTGTTTAAGTCATATATAGTTTAACAGTTATGCATGATAAACAGAGCACAGGGGAGACTGAGATCCCACCAGCTTTCACAGCTTCTGTAGCAAACTGATGAGATTAGGTATCCCCAAATCAGGCAGTAGATGATCCATGGGAAGGCAGGAAAAAAACACCAGGATTTCTGCTGGTCTGACCTGTGCAAAATCCCTTCTGAGCTGAAGTCTGTCCATCACATTCATCTGAGCAGCACATGCCGGCAGGCTGTCCAAGAAAATGGATTTTCTGTAGCCCCGCAGAACACCCCTTGAGGTTTATCTCCAGTGTCCATCCACTGCTCAGGGCTTTGGAGAAGAGCAGCAAGATAAACCTTGGAGCAAATCTCTTCACTTCTGGGTTAAGGGAAAAGTTAGCAAGGGCTGCTACTGCACCTGGTCTAATTCTCCCCCAGGTGTCTCTTACCCATGAAAATCGCTTCGTTTGAGAGACTGCAGAGCAGATAATGTTGAGTTATATGACTCTGCTTGTCATCTGCCTTGACGCTTAACTTCAAGGATATTGCTTCTTCCTGTGAGGCTGAATTTTTCTGACTTCATCACTCAGCTTTTGGCTCTTGTATCATTCCTGATAGCAAGGTTGAAAATCCCCATTTAACTTACCTATACACGGTCATTAAGTAGTCTCTCAACACTGTCTTTGCTAGGTAGAACACTTTAAGATTCATTTCCTACAAGCTGCTTTTTGGATCTGATAAATTTTGTGGTCTTCCTTTGAATTCTTCAGGGTTTTCATGCGCCTTTTGAAGTGGCTTAATCAGATCAAGATACGCTGTATCAGCACTGGACTCAACAAAGTGGTTACTTAGCAAACAGAAGGTCATCTCTACTCTTATGCAGCATTCCTCTTTTTAAACATTTTTAACACAGTGTCACATTAGTGCTCTTTGATGCAGTGATAGATTGCGGTGATAATCCGTTATGACCTTTACAATTTGATGAAACAGTTTTTTAAACAGAGGGTTTAACCTGTAGGTAAATCAGGAAAAGTTTATTTTTGTGTGTTTTCCTTGCATTTCATCATATTAAAATTCACTTCTTTTCATTTGGCTTTTTAGCTGAATACTTCAGGTAACTCTGCAATATAGTCTGTTTTATTCTACCACTCAAACTGCAGATTTAGCCATTGTTCTGGTGTCCTCAACATAAAAAGGACATGGAACTGTTGGAACAAGTCCAGAGGAGGCCACGAGGATGATCAGGGGACTGGAGCACCTCCCGTATGAAGACAGGCTGAGAAAGTTGGGGCTGTTCAGCTTGGAGAAGAGAAGGCTGCATGGAGACCTCATAGCAGCCTTCCAGTATCTGAAGGGGGCCTATAGGGATGCTGGGGAGGGACTCTTCATTAGGGACTGTAGTGATAGGACAAGGGATAACGGGTTAAAACTTAAACAGGGGGAGTTTAGGTTGGATATAAGGAAGAAATTCTTTCCTGTTCGGGTGGTGAGGCACTGGAATGGGTTACCCAGGGAGGTTGTGAATGCTCCATCCCTGGTGGTGTTCAAGACCAGGTTGGACAGAGCCTTGGGTGACATGGTTTAGTGTGAGGTGTCCCTGCCCATGGCAGGGGGGTTGGAACTTGATGATCTTAAGGTCCTTTCCAACCCTAACTATTCTATGATTCTATGATTCTGTGATTCTATAATCATACATCTAACAGTTGTCAAAATTATTGATAAAAATAAATGGATAGGTAGAATTTGAGGAGCCTTCCAGAGCTAACTCCTTTAACAAAGAGTTATACAACATTTTTAAGAAATACCAGTAAGTTGGGTTTTAGTTTAAGGCCTGCCTTTTAAATTTTATAAAGTTTAAGATTATTATTTTCAAAAAATTTTTTTTAGGTTGACATTTTAAGCAGGATTTTTCAGACTTTACTCAACCCGTGTTCTTTTTCCTGTATTGACCACATTATACTTGCAGGTTACTTCTTAATAAAATAATATTTGTTTAAGTTTATAACAGTGCACATCCAGTGACCATTCACAACAGAATTATTTAACAGGCACTATAAATCTGGATGTAAAACAAGTACAGAATGTTCTTTTTGCAGTTTCCAGTGAGACAATTCAGAAATTTTTGGCTGTCTTTTCTCCGGTCCTTTCCCTTACCAGGGGCGTCCTGATGACAGTCAGGTGCATTTACTTCATGACAGAAAGGACATGTATTTTAGCTGAGAAGTGTCAAAATGACCACAAAGTCATCTATTCTGTTTTGAATCCCTAGTAATTAATAACATTTTTATATCAAATCCAGTCATACAGAGTATATTTTTATATGATGCCTTTTTAGAAAATAATTTTGTTTAATTAAAAATATCTTCTCTTTGCTCTATAATGATATCTTTTTTTACCAAGAGCATTTCTATAGGTTTCAGCAGGTATCTGCTAATACTGTATTTTCTTTGCATAAAGCATGAGGAAAGAGATCAGGTTTTATAATTTGTTCATATATTCAAAGATGCTTTCATTAAATGTTTATCTCCTTCCGTAAATAAACCACACTGTGTACCACATGGCAACGACATAATTAACTGCTTGTAATATCAGGGGATGTTACCATGGGAATGAATGATGGTTCCGAAATATTGCTGCTTAGTGCTATATGTAGAAATTAGAAATAGGTTTTTGATTATTAAAATGGAGGAAAGTCATTCAGTGATTTTTGTCTCATTTTTAGGGCTGTTCGTTAGAAATAGATATGATTTTCTTCCCCTTCTTCCTTAACCACTGAAGAGCTGCTAAGGTGGAATGCCTCTTAATGCCTCCAAGGACAATTACTGAAATTTTTATGTGTAAAATAGCCAAGGATAAAGCAGATTTCACTTCTGTTCCTACCTCTTTTCAAAGCTTGACATGCCTTTCAAAAAATACCAAAAAAAATACTGTGTTTAATTTTTCCATTAATGAAATTAAGATACAGCAAATCTTAGAAGCCTGTCCTGAGGCTTTGTTCTCAGTATAAATGCAGAATATTACTTTGCTAATAGTGAGAGACTATAGTTGCCACAGCTATTGCTGCTCCAGATACATTTTCTTGATGTTGCTTTTTCACATGCACTGGCCAATTTTAGGAAATAATACTGTCCCTGGTGTATTCTGTAGTATGGTAATGTTCTTCAGCATTTTTCTTTCTGATAGCACACATAAAAACCTTAAGGCTCAATGATTCAGAAAGCCATAATATACCAGTTAAGTACTGCAGTATTATAACCTGCCAAAATGTTATTTACTTTTTGAAGAATTTTGATTGTTTCCTCCTTTCTTTCACTGTGTGGAAAGAAAGGCATCAAGTGCATTCAGAAGAAGATTTTCCCTGATAAATGAGACTTCTGTCTGATGCCTTAGAGCAGGTCATGAATAATTTTTCTGAGACACATGCACCCTAATATCAATCACAGGGCTCCACAGTATCTGCTGGA